GTATGTATGTATGTATGTATGTATGTATGTGTGTATGTATGTATGTATGTATGTATGTATGTATGTATGTATGTACGTATGTACGTATGTACGTATGTACGTATGTACGTATGTACGTATGTACGTAGGTAGGTAGGTAGGTAGGTAGGTAGGTAGGTAGGTAGGTAGGTAGGTACGTACGTAGGTACGTACGTACGTACGTACGTACGTATGTATGTATGTTACGTATGTATGTTACGTATGTATGTATGTATGTATGTTACGTACGTTACGTATGTATGTTACGTATGTATGTAGGTATGTATGTATGTATGTTACGTACGTTACGTATGTATGTTACGTATGTATGTAGGTATGTATGTATGTATGTTACGTACGTTACGGACGCACGCACGCACGCACGCATACACGGTGTATCAATTTAAACAAACATTTTAAAGTATGCATTTTTAAATGATGAAGGCTCATGTATTTTTGGGGTGTGGTAGACTAGATTGTTCATGCATTTAACATAGATTAATGACAAACACATTCCAGGTTATGTTGAACGATGAACACTAGCCGAATGAAAGTAGGTTTTCTCATTCTTCAGGGACATGAAAATAGGTTTTTTCATAATTCAGGGACATGAAAATAGGTTCGTCAAACCTCAGGGCATGAGTAATTCGCTCTTAACAGAGTGTTATGACTAATGACATGGTTGCCTCTGTTAAACCTAAAGGCCATGGATGTATGTTTGTTTAAGCGTCAGTGGCATCACGGTACTTCACCTGTTATCATATGATCTCTTTTTTCAAAACACACACGGATGCATGTATATGAACGTTTATATTTGTCACACATTCACACACCAAAACTTTTGAAAAATAATAGGTGGGAATCTCAAGGGTATTTTAAACCAAGCTTTACAGAGGGAATGATCCTTTTGTGATTTCAATGCCACCACCGAATGTTACTGGCTCATTGCACATGGGACATGCAATGTTTGTTACTCTAGAGGTTAGAGTTATATGATTCCTGAAAACAAAACATACCCATTATGCATTATATATCTCTGCTTATGCATCTATGCTTGTTTGATTTTTATTCAACACAATATTATTAACATCTTTTTTTGTTTTCGTTTATGTGTCACTGTATGCACTTTCTATTGATTATTGCACTCTTATCCTATCTCTTGGATATGTTGTTAGTACTAAGATGTATCCTATATGCCTACATGCTGGGTTAGTAATTACTCCTTCCATCTGGATTTTGCTGTCCTTTTTTCCGAAATACATCATATTTAAGGAATGTGAGTAAAGTAACAAAAAATGCTTGAAACTAATCTTTCATTGATTTCAACAATGCTAATATGGTCTGTACTGTGTTTATGATAAGGGGCGTTCTATATTTAAACCACAGGGGCATTCTATATTAAGGGGCATATGATAAGGAAACCAGAAATACTCATATCTCTATGACTCTTATACTGCTTGGGCCTAGAAATGATAAATTATTATCAACACCTTAATCATTACTAGCTTGGGCAGGTGACAATATGAAACAGAATTTATGGTGTCATTTACTTTAGTTAACTCTATATCATGCAAAATAGAATTGCAGCAAGGTTTTGCGTCAGATGCCTTTCAAGCTCCAACCTTCTTGGCGAGGAATAATGTGATGACTTTTGCAAATGTCATAATCTCACATTTTTCTCACCTTATGAAAATATAATGCGACATCGATGAGTTGATATTTTTTAAAGTTATGTTCCTTTACAAGATTAATTTTGTAACTTAATCTGCAATCACAGATCATGTTTGTGCCAGAAAAGTTTAGTATACTCTGAACTTTGAAGATTCCTTTTCCTAAGTTGCCTTTCGGAAAACATTATCCTATGATGTTTAACTTTTATATTCATTTGATTATTATTCGGTTAGGATATCATGGTATGATACAACCGAATGAAAGGACGGCCCACACTTTGGCTTCCTGGGACTGACCATGCTGGTATCGCAACTCAGGTTTTCTAGAACTTAATGCTATAGTTACCCACTTATATCTCCATATAGTGGAGAACAATTGACATCGTGACTGATTGCTAACATTGTGCATTTATCTATTTGTTCATAGTTAGTCGTGGTAAGAATGCTGGCCACTGAAGGAATAAAGAGGACAGAAATGAACAGAGATGACTTTATCAAACATGTATGGGAGTGGAAAGAGAAGTATAGCTCTTCATTCTCTCTCTCTCTCCAAATTACTTTTATCAACTTGATGTGAATGCATACTCTCACTATTACATAAAATTTACAATTTCTGAAATAATCCCTAGTGGCCTATTGGTATCCTCATTTTTAGGCAATCATTATTCATACCAGACTGAATTAGAAATATGATGCATTGTGTTTTCTTGCATCAACTCCCACTACATCTACAATTTGTAGTTTCCCTAATTAATAATTATAACTTATGCTTATTATGAATTTAAGGTATGGTGGAACCATTGCAAATCAGATTAAGAGACTTGGTGCTTTTTGTGATTGGAGCAGAGGGCGATTTACACTTGATAAGCAGCTGAATTGTAAGATTACTTTCTATGGGCAAGGTTTTAAAAGGCGAAAACTAGCCTCGAGGCGGTAGAGGAAAATGCCTCGAGGCTTACCGTAAGCCTCGAGGCGGAACAAGGCGTAAGCCTCAGATCAACTTGATAAAAGATAACAAACAAAACAACTTTTAGGTAAACAAAATGCATAATCCATAATTATGTCAAATAAGTCATTAAGTAATACATAAGTTTTCATTTAAAGCAAAAAAGGGGGGCAGAATAAAAACGCAATAAGATAATCATGATTCAAGATAACCAAAACACTAAAAAAGTTGATGTAAAACCAAACTATATGTAAAAGATTAAATTTAAAGTAATTATAAATTATAATATAAACAATTCAACAATGAAAAATCTTAAAATTTAATAATGAAAAATCTTAAATTTGGCTAACTTAAAATTCTTCAAGTTGCTGGAATTTTGGAAAATAAAATTACCAGAGTAAAAAAAAGTTAAAACAAATCTTCAAGAAATCATAAATTCGTACCTTAAGAGAGAAACGAGAATAGGAAGCCAAATTGCACAGGGAAAGCCGCGACCAGAGAGAAACGACCGGAAGCCAGAGCGAAAGAGAGAGAC